GAAAGAGAGGGCTCCCGCGCCGCTGAGGCTTTGCTCCGGGTGCCTCTGGTCTGCTGCCCCCCCTCCCGGGCAGCCCAGGGACACCGGGAGCAAAGCCGCAGTGGCGGCGGAGTCCCGCGCCTCCCCAGCTTTGCCAGAGCAAAGCCTCAGAGGCGCGGGACCCCTCCACCTCCCCAGCTTTGCTCCAGGTGTCCCTGGTCTGCTGGAGACGGTCCCCAGCAGACCAGGGGCACCCGGAGCAGCTTTTCTCGCCCCGGAGGTCGAGGTGGCGGGACCGCTGCGCTCTGGGCGGTCCCGCTGCCTGCGAGCTCCGGGGCGAGAGAGCCCTGTTCGTAAGTGCGGATCCGACATAAGTCGGATCCACGTAACTCGGGGACTGCCTGTATATTAAAGAACATTTTTAACTGTTTTGCTGGACAGATATTTTTTTGTTTTTTACTTACTCTATTTAAACAGTTTACATTTATTTTTAACTAGGGCTTGTATTCATTCCATGGGATTTTTTTTTAATTCACAGATAACACATACTTGAATCAAAATGAAATGAGACAGTTTGTCACCGGGCCTAAATTGGCCTCTGTCAAGTTATAGGAAGTACAAAAGCTGACCCAGGGAATGCTTAATTCCTGATTCTCTCAGTCTCTGGCCTCTGGCAGACACCCAGGAAGTAAATATTGAATGGGCATCTCATGATCCAGCTACTAGTATTTAGGAACTTAAAAAGAAAAAGTTGCTAAGCATTTTGACTATGTATTTGTCTTTAATCTGACAGTCCAATGTTACTTGTCATATATAACTCGCTCAGCAGAAGCAGATGACCAATTTCCTTTGCTGTTATTGCTGACTCATCTCCTTGTTTATTACCCAATTAGTTTGCAATTTTGTGTCCTTTATATAATGCCTCTTCTAATCAAGCTGTAAATATGTCCTTGAACAAAAAAAAATAAAAGATTTAGGTCATTCCTAATGACCTACTGAACACTTTTTTGACTTTAGTTGCTTGCAAAAATTTGTCAACAGGTGGGGCTTAAACTAGAGAAATACTGTTTATAACTATTTTTGCTTTTTCCCTAATCCTTTAGTACTGTAGCTTTCAGTGTCCTATCAATGTCAATGGAATAAGTAAAATTGACACTATCAAATTTATAAGCTGAAACTTGATTTTTTCCGTGATGCAAAGTGGTTTGCTCTGGGGGTTTAGAGATCTCTTTTAAATGGATGCCGATAGCCTAGCCATGCTTAGATAGCACGGTGATGGATGTTGTATTAAAAACTTGAGAGCACTTATGATATGACCTATTGTAGAATAACAAAAATTGATCTGTTCATATGACAAAAGGGAAAATCTTTTCCTGAGGACTTGCACACATGGAAGCTTGAAAATGTGTAGTGATTTTTGAAACTGTCCTTATTTGCGCCTTTCTTTTTAAAATTCTTTTTATAGCTCGATTTAAGAACAGAAGTCAGCCTCTATTAGAAATCTGAAAAGCTTTCTACTATTCAAACCATGACACTTCCATTCCGAAAAGATTTGGACAAGTACAAGGATCTTGATGAGGATGAAATTCTTGGCAAGCTGTCAGAAGAAGAGCTAAAACAACTGGAAACTGTTCTGGATGACCTTGATCCTGAGGTGGGTATTGGGCAGACAACAGCCCTTTTTGGTGGTACTGGTTAGAAACTATGCTAACAAACTAGTGCCTTTTTACTTCATTTTGTACGTACAGAAGTTTTCTAATCTAGTAAAGACACAAAACTAACAATAAAAGAAATCTTATCTCAAAGCTGTTTTTCTTCTTTGCAACTTGAAAACAACCACTATAAAGCAAAATGACCATGAAGGTCTTTTTGGGAATGATTTGTAATTATAGAAAAAAAATACAGTTGGTAGTGTTCCTGAAGGAAATTTTTTGTTTGAACGTATTTCTACCTTTATTATCCCGTTTGCAACATTTATTGATCACAGTCTTTTTCTGTTGCATGTTCTGATGTAAAAT